TTTTTTTTTTTTTTTTTTTTTTTTTTTTTTTTTTTTTTTTTTTTTTTTCCCCCTTTTTTTTTTTTTTTTTAATTTTGCTTTTATCTCCTCCTACTTCTGTTCTAGTCGTAAATTGCCTCTCTTCGCTTTTAATTCAAAGCATTGAGAGTTCTGCCGCTTAGCGTTATTCCCACTCGGGTTTTGCTACTCAGAAAATGCCCTGGCAAAGAAAATGCTGCAAATCATTTCCCATCGCCTCACGACGTGACCCACCTGAGCGGCTGCTGGCACTAGGCTGGCGGGTGAGACTCAGTCAGCCAAGGGAACGTTAAAAGAAAAAGATCGGAATACCAGAAATTACTACAATTTGCTCTCTTCTGGGCTAATTGCTGAGAAGCTAATAGCTTCCGTGCTAATTTATTTTTAAGCCTAATGAGGAACTTTTTTTTTCTTTTCACTCAAAGCTCAGCTTTTACCAGCACTCAGAAGCGGGATGGCGACGGGAAAGATGAGGGGACGACTACAGTCCTTTAGTCAGAGTGCTGGAAGCCGAGCAGCAGTTGACCCTCACTCACCGGTTCGTTTAAGCGCAATGTAAAACTCATTTGGGGCGTGGAAATCATTCTCAAAGGTTTTATACGCCTGGCACTTCCACCCGAGACGTAAGCCCTTCACAGTAAGAATGACCTAAGGTCATTGTCTCAAGACACCTTCATGCGAAACACAGACTGGATGGTTCTGATATTTTCAATTTTATACAAACAAAACAGCCAAGAAAACTTTAAGCCATTCCAAAGCTCTCAAGCCTTCACCATACCTCGCAAAGAAGGGAAAAAAATTGACTTAAAATAATGTCCTTCCAAAAAGCCTTTGACGACCCTTTCAGCCAAATTAAACGGGGCTAAAAGCCCTCGTTTCGCTGTCCGCGCACTCATCTTAGTGCTACCACTGGGAACCAGCCTCTCCCCCTGGACGCAGCTCCTCTCCCCCGCTCCCGCCCCCTCCCTTCGCGGGCTCGCCCCGGAGGCCGGGGGAGCCCCGGGCCGCAGCCCCCCGGCTCGGCAGCCCCCCGGCTCGGCAGCCCCGCTCCAGGCCTTCGTGCGGTCGGCGCCCCGAGGCTTTCCGAGCGCCCGTGAGTAACAAACTGCCAGCGCTATTTCGAGGGACTGTCGCTTCAGGTTTTCCTCACTGGGAAGGGAAAAGAAACGTTCGCGTCCTTCTCGGAGGCCCGGTACCGAGCTGCGGTCACTCGGGTGCTGCCGGAGCTGAGCAGAGAGGGTCGGTGGGTGATCCGCATCGCTCCGGGCTCGCCTGGTTACGCCGGTGTCAGCCGGCAGCGCGCACGTTGCTGCGACCGGTCGTTGCGAAACGGCGATTGCCCTTTCAGCAAGCCCCAACGCCGGAGCTTCTCGGCAGCCCTTCCGCCCCTTACAAAACCCCCACTGAGGCGAGGCTT